ATCCACTCATGAACGAGTCCACGACAATACTTTAAACAACAGTTTATTTTATTATTAATCAGAGGATTATAGATATTTGAAGGTGATTTGGTTTCCTGGGTGTGGCTGCAAAAGCTGTGATGCTGAAAGAAAGATTTGTTAGAGTATAAAGGATATGCACAAAGGAGATGAGATTTATCTACAAATTTTAACACAAGCAGATGCACCGCAATGCTACCCCAAGCAAACACCCATCTGTTACACACGGATTTATTTTGCACAGTGCAGGATTTCAAATTGTTTTGTAACACGGGGATCAATCTGGTGTTTGACTTAACAGCCTCAGTATGTTACCTTAATCCAGTGGTTACCGTATATCACGGGGTGTAATCTCGGGTGGGGGGGCTGCTAATGCTGAGGTGCAACCACGTTCTGGTACATACACAAAATGAACTAAGTGCTACCTTTTGAATCAGACTTTACAGTGTGACATGGTTGACGTAGCTCATGGGTCCCATGTAAAAACAACCCGCAGTTGGAACCACACGTCAGCTGGTAGGAAAACATCCCACATCGTTTGTTAAACTTTCTTGAAGAGAAACTGCATGATGGAAAAGAGGCGAACACAGTGCGGAGAGCTAACAACGCCAGGCCAACGCATACAAAATGATAAACCAAAGATTCAGTTTTACAAACATATTCACATGTGATTTCTCAGGTTATAGTCAGTCGTGAGGCACTCATATTGGACAGGCAGTTTATTTACAGATAGCAGACCCATACACACAAAGAAAAGAGAGTAATGGTGGCAAATTTTTCCAAAGAATGTCGGTCGATGAGGAGGGGGTATTTGTATCCAACAGATCTCAACAATCGAGGCATCGTTTTCCCTCAATCCCTAATTGCCACCGGCTCAGGGCTTCAAAAAGTACTCAAAAACATACAATCACCAACGGTCATCAACAGTTTACTTTATAAAAATATCACCATGGTGTTCCACAGATTCACAGATTTGACTGTGGAAAGAAAGACATATTTACAGTAAAACACACAAAGAGGAAAGTGAAACAAAAAAAAAAAATATTGAGAACAAAAAAGAAGAAAAAAAAGTGTTGGAGGAAAAGATGAGCAGTGCAGAGAGGGTCCCAAAAGGCAAAGCTTGAGCAAATCTTGCTTTAAGGTCTCTAAATGGACACCTCTTAATCTTTTTTTTCATTTGTCCTGTAAAGACCAGACAAACAAGCGATTAAAAAAAGGGAATGATAATTAGAAGTTAGTTTGTCAAGTGCAGATAAACCCTTTAGATAATCATCAGCTACAATATAACACTGGAATACTGCGACAAATGCAGTTTTTGTTGTAAGTCAGTCATTCTGATTGAACATACATACATGCAAAATGATTACCTAAAATAAATCCACTGCAGTGTCAATGATTCAGTGTGAACATGAAAACCATTTGAAATAATTACATGATGAGGATAGATTTCCATGTGGACAGCTATTAATTATCATTCATTATCATAAGTGTCTGCTAAAGCTTGCACCAGTATTTTAAGTTTATTGTATGCACTTTAGCTGCAGTTTCAAATCTTTTTCTGCCATTTTTTTAGGAATGAAATTAACAAATAAATAAATAATAATCAGTCGTGGACCCTTAAGTAAGGTACTGCAAAAGTCACTACTGACTAAATATGATCAAGATGCTACAGTCATACATACAAACATGAAAGCAGAGAACATTTCTGAAATATCTGGATGGCGGAGATGCAGAGGAGAAGAAAACAAAGTAGCTTCTTCTCTGTTTTCCTTAATCCATTATTTAGGTGTAAACAAATATAATTTGCATTTCTAAAAAGGTCACATCTCATGACTGTACCAACTCTGTGATTCAAAATCCTCACCATTCAATGGGTATATACACAAGAATAATACTGCTGCAGTAACTAGTAATGCAAAAAAAATATGTTAAAATAAAAGCAGGGGAGGTAGTGAAAGATATATGGTCGAAGGTTCAGGGGACAGTGAGTAAATAAGATGTGCTCTCGGCATCAGAAGTCGATCTCACCTCATTGTTGCTCTGCAGTACAGCCAGAGTGGACAGACTGACAGGGTTTAGTATCTAGAATGAGTCTGCCAGTGCTGAAGGAGCAGAGAATAAAAAAAAAAGGATAATAAACAAGAGAAGACTTATCGTCTCTATTCACACAACGGCCTATGGCTATGTGGTAGTTTGCTCTACAGTGCAAATATATCTTTGTGACTTATGAGTCGGTTGCAAACAATAAGCGCAGGAACATACAGTAAAAGCCTAAGTAAAACAGCTACGTCTGTCATTGATGTACGCCGTCTGATAAAGTAAAGCCCCCATTGAAGAGGCAATCACACCGTTAGAAGGTGTCGAGAGGCTACTAGTTTTAAAATAAATAACAACACATCACAGTTTCATTTGTACAGACCAGTTTAGAGCAAAATGTACACTCACACAGCGTTGGGTTTGCAGCATTCAACATGACACATGTAGATGATATGGGTACCACAGTGAGAACATGTCATTCTCTTTCATCCAAGTGGATAAAGTATGAAAATTCAGGATGAAAATGACTTCTGACATCAGGGCGGGGGTGAAGGGAAGCGTCCGCTGTTCACGTTTTTATCAGTCGCATCATCGGCTAAGATCACAAGCTCCTAGTGATGATTGATGAACAATGAGGCGAAGGGGTGCCCTCTGCTGATGAAACGTGAGATGACAACGGGATGACGCCAGACGGGGGGAAGGCTCAGGACAGCACACTGGTGTTCTGTGAATCCACGTCTTGCATGCTCATGACATCTGTACTTACTCCGCTCTCATATATAGGGTTGTCGAAAGCTGACTCTTCTGTCATGTTGTCGTACGGCGGCGAGGACGTTGGCATTCTGATGGACTTCCCCTGGAGTCTGAGCGGAGAAACAGAGAACATCCTGCAAAAGGCCATTCTGCTGGAAAATGAAAAAAGACCCACGTTTTTTAAAATTTAGAACTTACTTTGCAAAGTAGACATAAATCCCGAGGACAACTACCAAGATGACTGCGGTTGGAATAAAAACCGCCAGGGCGATGTTGGTTCCCTCCATCCCGTAATCCATATTGTTCACAACTTGACGGTAGAAAACACACAAAAAGGTGTTATTTCCACGAAATAGCCACGGCGAACGAATATCAATAGAAATGTTGTGAAGCATGACTCACCATCCAGCCTGCGTTCGTTCGCGTACTGTGTTGTGGAAGCTGCAAGGACATACATAATTGCAGGTGAGCCAGAATTTGAAGCCAAGCTGTGCAACATGAAGCACGGCAGTATACATACGTAACACTTAAGAACAAAATGAACTGAAGAACAGCGACTAAATCAATAGCATTCAATTTTTATTTAGGTTGCAATGTTCCAAAAAATGCTTTGGCAATTTCAGAAAGTTTGCGACAGTGCGTGGGCATGGTTTACCTCTGCAGGCGGGAGGAGTGCTGTTCCACTGTGACGGGTGTCCGGGGATACAATAAATGGTGGCCTCACCCTGCAGCTCGTAGCCGGTGTGGCAGGAGAAGGTCAGCGTCTCTCCAGCTTGATAAAAGGCCTTTTCAGAGCTCTGCACGCTGGTGGATGCGGCACCAGGGTTCCTGCATGGCTCATACTTTTCAGCTGAGGACAAGGACACAATATCTTACGTGACGAAAAAAAAAACATGATGAGGCACCTTTTTCAGGAGTAGAAACACTGAAGGCAGAGTTTGACTTTGTGCTTTTATCTTATAGAACAAAACAGTGTGTAACCAGATAAGCACGTAAACAGTGTGGGTGTCAGCAGTGTCTGTGAACATTTCTGATTTGTGTAACTTACGGACACACTTGGGCAGCTTCTCGCTCCACTTGGGAGTGGCTGAATCTCGGTTGTAGCAGGTGAGGAGGCTGGAGCCTGACAGGACGTAACCTTTGTTGCAGATAAACTGCACGGTCGATCCAACGGTGAAGCGGCTGCCTGCGATCACTTTACGACTGTGCTCCACGTTTCCAGGGTCCTGACACGTCATGACTGGGGCGGCATAAAAACAAAGGGCTGGCATTGGTGGCGGTGGCAAACAACTTCTTGTCTTTTCTTGGATACATAACAGCTCATGGGCTGATGCATTCTTAATTCTTCAGGTCTTAATGTTAAACAGAACAATCGATTATTGTGTAACCGTTCAACCTGTTTATCTTCGAATACCTTTTTAATAACAGTGCAGCAAAATCAGAGATAGTCTTGTTTTCATTCCACACAGTTTCCTTCTTTGTTATTTCTCTTCCCTGCTAAAACCGATTTGCCCGACAAATTTAATTAGTCAGGCAAATTTGTACAATATATAATGTTGCAGCGTCTTAACCCTAATATTTGAACTTCTTTGCTAATTTTCTAACATTAATCTTATTTCTCTACTTGAGCGCAATTTGTCTAAATGTCTTGTTTTAAATGTGCTGCATTAATAACAGTGGCTTCACTTAACTTGACATGGTGCCAGCATTATCTACAATTCAATTGACCACTGAGAGCTCAGTCAGAGATTTTGGTATGCAAATGGCAGCTTTTAGCACCAGGCACAAGAAAAGGCAAAAAGGCAATTGTGGGTTGTCTTCTCTTGCCTTCCACTGGAGCTCAGATTCAACTGATGCATGCACTAACAGAGCGCTGTAATCATCATTAACCGGCTAAACAGCTCTTCTGAAAACCTTAAAAGTCCCAAAGCATGCATAACCTGTGCAGACAAAGAGTCTCTAATAGAATGAGAGTTACATCACCCGGTCTAGTCAGCTTACCTCGATATCAAGGAGTATATAACCGGCGAGATCCTACTCTCGCTCACCTTCCCTGTGTGAACAAATTGAGAAAACCCCCGGGTTTCTAGGCGTGCTTCCTCTCACCTTCCTCACACCTCGGCACATCACCGCTCCACGTGAGATCCCACTGGCACATGAGGATCTCGGAGCCTACCAGCTCGAATCCAGGGTAGCACTGATAGGTGATGACGGTTCCGTGAATGAGGTCGGGGTGAGACGTGCTCTTCCAGCCGTTGGTGATCTCCGGCAGCTCCGAGCAGGTGTCATTCCTTGGCACCTCTTTTGGCATCGGACCGGTTGTGTTGGGACATTAGAGACAGAATGACAAGGTGGGAAATTAGGAACTGCAGACAGACAATAGGGAATTACAACAACCATTCTAATAATATGAAATCTTCTCATAATAATAAAACCTCCTCGGTGAAATCCGAGCCGAACCGCAACAGCATCTGCGGGGCATGAATGCGGCTGCAGAAATGTTCTGTTCTTTGTGCTCTGAACAGCAATGGTCGGGGAGGAAAATGTAAATAGAGGCTTGTGATGTTTGCTTGGAGGAACACAGCATGTGGCTTGGCACCAGTCAATCCGTGCCTCTCTAAATGAAGCATACGAGGCCAAGAACACAAAGCATTGGGCAAAACCTGCTAATGCTGAAGTGCACCTAATCCTGTGCACCTGGGATAAACCAGAAGACAGACAGACAGAGGCAAGAGGAGCAAACAGACTTTTGTCTTTCAAATGAGTGACTTCCTAGGCTTTCATTGTGAAGAACATTTCAAACTTGTTAGCAGTGTTTTATATAAATAATATAATAAATATAGGGAAATTATAGAAATGATAAAAACGATTGTGTCTTACCAAAGAAGTGCACCACAAATCCATTGTTGTATCCGTAGATGTTGGTGGCAGGATCGGACTGAAACTGTATAGTGACGTCAGCCATGGAGGTGTAGAGCTTGAAGTGTGGCTTGGTGCCGCTGTATTGGCCCAGGATGTTGGCTGTCAGGTCATCGCCGTCGTAGAAGGTCAGCAGGTCATTCTTACCCACATGGAGGCTGGAATTGACAGAAAAAAAGCGGTCGCATTTTATTCCCCCCCCTCGATGATATAACTTGAGATTTCCAGCGACACAGAACGTTCCGAGGCTCTGCGGCGTGTTTGCCGAGCGTCTGTGCTCAGAGCCTTTACTTCCTCAGCTGATGAAAGCAAAACTTGATGATATTTGGCGATGTCAGCAGTACTTGGAAAATTTTTAATTCTGTTTATATTGGATGGATCCGATGTGAAGTAAACACTAAATAATTCATGATGTATGTCTTCTTCATCCACATATTGCCCTCATGAATATGTACTAATGTGTATATATGGGCATATGAGCAGAACATAGGAATAATCCAAAGGAATAAGCCAGCAGCTCTACAAAGAAAGAACCAAAACAATGAAATATATGGAAACTAGGATTACAGGAATGTAGCAGGACTAAAGGGAAGTGAAATGAAGGTCTAATAGGTAATCTAAACTTCGAAATGTTTCCTTTACATGCTCATATTTAGTTGAATATAATGTAGTGAAGCCACAGTTTGACAGAATCACTGATTAATTTAAGAATGCATTAACCTTTTCCATTTGGAGATTCAGATGTCACCGTTCTCTTTACATAGCAACAGTAAAGCTTGACATTTATTCATGCACGGGGGACGGAGAATGGTGAAAGTAAGTCACAGAAGTTGTAGTTCCCTGCTGATATAATAAGCAAGAGGAAACCGGGTGCTCTTTACCTGCCTTAAAGCGGGTGTTAAAATAGCAGCGCGGATTGGCTGTACGGCTGTAAGACTCTCTAAACTGTGTTGATTACAACTTAAGAGTATCGGTGGCACGGTGCCATTCTTCTTCATACGGAGGAGCTTTGTAGCTGTGAATCACCTTTCCCCTGCGTGAGCCACTATTCACTACACGCAATCAAGCTACGATTCCAAACTATTTTTAGAAAAGCATTGTTTTCCCAGTATGGTGAGAAAATCATCACAGCTTTATTCCATTCGCAATAATAGAAATTACAAGTTACAAAAAAATGCCAGCTTTTCTCTCAACTGTAAATGTGATCACACCTTGTCTGCCCATTGTCTTATCCCCCTTGTGTTTGTTTCTCTGATTTACTCTGTAATAATAATATCCATATTGCCATGTCATCTGGATCTTTTTTTCATCTTTTTTTTTAAGACAAATGTTTGTTTCTCAGAGGGATGTGCAACAGCTGGTTGAGGTCGGATTAAAGATTTGAATGGAAAAACACTCCTAACACGCCGCTGCACACTCACAATACTGATGCAATCCTTGTATTTCTATTATGAGAAGCAGAAATCTTGGCAAGTGCGCGTTGCATAATGTGAGACACCACCTTGAAAGATACATACAGAATGGGGAGACAGGTGGTTGGAATCGATGTGCTCACATAGAAACAGACTTCACAGAGAGAGGGTACTTGGACAAGAAAGCCTTCAAACATCCAAGCGTCCTTACGCTCGGAACCAACAAACACTACAAACAAAAAAATAGTAAAAGCAGAAGGTGAGAATTTTAATATTGAATCAAAAAAATATGTACGGGATGCATACATTTAAATTCATCAATATTTCTGCAGCGGAAAACTAAAATTCATCTCGGCCACAGTTTTAAAGAGCAATGAATATCTAATGTAAAGAATTTAAATCTGACTTTAAAATACAACAAATCATACAGAAACGTTTACAAAGTAAAACCTCTGTCTGTGCTTAAAGCTGCCAAAAAGTAAAATACTGCATCAAAGTAGTAAAAAAATCAATCCAGTGTTAAAAAAACAAAAAACTTAAATGGAGGAAAGACAAGACGGTTTGTTTGTTCATCCTGCTTGATATATATCAATGAGTGAGTCAGTGAAGGCTGTTCAGAAACAACAAAAACATTATCTTCTCATGTCAAATGTTACTGTCTAGACATTTCTGCTTTGTGTTTTTACACTGTGATTTATCTGCTTTGTTTATTTTGTTTGTTACTTCCAAAAATATGGATGTTGAATGTGTTAATTTCTCTGCGAGGTCTGTTCCTACACTGGATGCTTTTTGAGCTCACTGATTTGACTCACCTGTTTGGCACATTATATAAGTCACTCAGATTATGTGTGTGTGTGTGTGTGTGTGTGTGTGAGAAGAGCTGGAACACCAAATGACAGACTTAACAATAAAAACTTGCACCCGAAGTTGAGTTTGACGGGTTTTTAGAAATTATTATTATGCTGAAAAATCAGAATATTGCCAGACTGACTAAAATTTCGCTGCATTTTTAGAGCAAACTCTGTGGCAGGATTGGAGGCTGTGTTATCTGATAGAGGCAAACAAATGACCTGCTGACATCTCTGCAATCTTTTATCCATAACCTACCCCCACAGAATGTCCACATTAGAAACAGGCCGCTGTTGTAATCAACCAAATGCACCCACTTCAGTTCTTTTCACCCACATTATTTTTTAAAAGAATCCCACCTTTTTTTTCTCTATTCATCAGTTTTAACTAATAACTGACTCACTTAGGTGCATATTCATTGACCACCAGTTGATTCATAAAGCAGGAAGGGGACACTTCAAAACAACAGAATGACAAGCGGATCCCACTACGTACCCGTGCAGAAATTTCGACAACCTTCTCTCGCTGCACACAAATAATGAATGCCGCCTGCATGAATCTGAGTGAAGTGAGGTGCTGAGTGACAAGGTACTCCCTCTGGTTAGCTGGACCACTATAGGGACAATTTACACCTCCGTGTTCCCTGACAATCAGCAGCTGTGGGTAGGAGTGACAGGAATGACAATGCCTGTCTCCACTTCTAAACCTCCACCAGAACACTCCACACACACACAGACCTTTTTAGGAGAACATCCGTGCGATTACCTTCAGTCTCTGCATTTCATCACCGTCAACACAAAAATATAGCAACACCTACTGCTCCCTTTTGCCTCATACTGTCCAGATTTAGACATTAGTCAGCCATGCCAAGTGCTATTCTTTTGTTTTTTTTTTCCCCAGGTGGGTCTACCTCCTAATTTTACTACTTTTATTGGAAAGCAGTAGTTCATCATCACCACAACCTCAATAGCATTCTGTTGATCTTTATCTTTTCCTGAAGACCGTTCCACAAACGTGGGCCATATCCGCTTTGTGCCTTTATCACTTCAGAAGTCTAACCAGGTCAAAACTGAACCCGCGAGAAGCATTTTCATCATCAGATCACAGCGCTGAGATCCGTCTTCGCACTTTCAGCTAATGACTTGGTCCAGGATCTCTTTAATCTTTACCGATATTTCACAGTGCCATATCTGAAAGCGATCAATTATAAAAGGCTTTTTCCTTCACACTTACATGCACAACTTTGATATCTACCATAACATCGCAAGACAGACGCCCCATTTCAATTGCAAGGCTTTAAAACTACAATAGCCTTTTCACAAGAACCCCACTAACTCTGGCTCCAGATTTTGATGTCTGATGTTAGACAAGATGGCCAACACTGCGGGCAAATCTAAAAACAATCAGCTTTGCGGTCGACAGCATTAGCAAATCCCATTCTTTCCCCGCTTGACACTCTGGAACTTCTCCTGTCTGGGTACCTAAATAGTCCTCCCCCCCACCCCCAAGTCATTCTACCTCATCAAGAATCCTGCAGTCAACCTTGGGTTTTAAATTTTCCCCACTGACCCCATCTATTGGCTCATCTGTCTGCTTGAAGTGTATTCAGAACCCTGCTGACTCCGCAGAAGAATGCCAAATGCACAATGCCTTCGGTCCAGACCAGCACAGCGCTCAGTGGTGAGTCACTACAGGCCGCTCAACTGTCCTCGCTGTAGTAACCTGGCAATCACTTTGCGCAAATGTCATCCCACCTGGCTCCTTATTAATAGTTGTCACCCCCTGCCCTGTGTAGCAAATTGCTAACTAATTCAAGAAAAAAAATCACCTTGTCTCCTGCAATGTGTCCGTTAATACATCTTTCCTTTTCGTTTTAGAAGGATATTAATCAGAGTACAGTTGGAGTACAGTTCTGATCGCTGCAATACTCATTTTTAATGCCAGTCATGAGCTACGACTAAAAAAATGGCGATAGGTGACGGCTAAATGTGCCACAGGGAAGGATGGAAATCCACAAAACATTTCAAGAATACCAAAGTAAATCTACTTGAAATATTAAAATAAAGGCATTATTTGTTTAGAGTTGTCTTGTTTGATTAAATATCTCCCTCGCTGATATGACTTGGGTGTTTGCCCACACTCGGCTTGAAAAAGAATTTTAAGAGTACTTCTGAAAACTCCTCTGCATACCAATGACACTGGCTCAATTCTGCAGATGAGGGGATGACAGTTGTTTTCTCCAAGCCTCTAGGTATTTTGTCACCTTCACTGACCTGTCAAGTTTAAAGAACCCAACAAATCTCCAGTAACTCTAACAGAATGGAAATTGCTTTCAGTGTCATGCTTTCAAAAGCAACCTTCTGCATCTTTTCCAGGAACATATTTGCCATCTGAATTGCTCCGCTCCGTTCATATGAATTCCTTAAAAAATAAAAAATAACCTCCTGGTTTCTAGGCAACTACGTAACCCCCAACCAGTGGTGAGCTGGCAATCATGCCTACTGGGACAAATCCCAGTGGGTCACCACATCGATGGATTGGTGGACTGCCAAGAAAAAAAATCCATAAAGTTGTCTTTTCCAGCCCTCTCTGAGTGCCTGTCATTAAGGGTGCACATGAGACCTTGCATCTGCACATGTTCTGTCATTAAAACCTCACCGACTCAACTTGTGCACCCTCCATCCCCTGAATGAATCGCTTCCCTGGTACACCCCTGACCCCGGTACAAGTCGACTTGCACATAACATGCAATGCTCGGAGTCTCCACAAGAGGACTCTATAAACCCAATATGTCCAACCTAAACAGTCTCCACTGCTGCCCAGTAAACTCACACTGACATCAGCACTGTTAAATACACTTCCTTGTAACGCTGTACTGCGAAACATAATTCCAGATACAGTATACCCTGAATGCTAAAACCCACATGTGTACCATTTACCTATTTCTGCTCCACAGGTGGGGATATCAGCTGTAACCTCTTGTCTCTGGCTCTTGCTCAAGCCATGCTCCATGCTAATTAGCAAAGAGCCAGCCCTCCTGTTTGGCCTAAATTAATTAATCAGTCCTCATTATGCACACTGCTCCCCTGCAATTGCCAGCACAGGCACAGTGATGAATTATAATACAGAAAACATTCTAATTAATGTGGAAAAGTGTGTGCCCACCCTTATAATGAGACAGCTCTTATCCACAAGAGCCTTTTGTCACTTCAACATGCATAACGCATGCACACAAACACGCCTTGACACAAGTTACACGTTGACCAAGCCTTTAGGAATACTATTCTCGAAGCTCAGCGGACCAGACATGGAGGTAATGGTAGGGTCTGCAGGGATCAGACAGGCTGTGGGTTTCTATTGCCATGAAAGCCACGCATGACCAACCTTGAGATAAGCTAAAGCTGGCCGCAACACCATTAATTTACAGTGAGCAGCCTCATGTGGCCTGGATTAAAACAAACTTACGACTGGTGCAATTTAAAAAAAAGAGATCTCTGAATGAAAATCAGTTTACCTCAAATCAAACTTGTTTACTTCTGTGTGGGGAAAAAAAATCCCCTCTGATCTTTCCCTTTTTTTCTTTCTTTCTTTTTTTTTTTTTTACCCGAGCTGGACTGGTTGACTTTCAACATCAGACATTAATCACTGAGTCTTAATCTCTATCTAAAGAACAGAGAGACATGCGGGGTCACATAAACCCCCTGTGTGGTATTTAGACATTGTGTTTTATTGGTATCCTCTGATGCCATTATTCCCTTTTGATCTGTGGATGGTATTTGAGTGATGGCTCATATCTCAGTGCCTGTAAGCCTGAGAGATAAAGTTTGGGGAATCATGCGCATTGTGACCGTGCAGTAGTGTACAAAACTGGGACTGTGCAGAAACTGCCTACACTTACAGAAACCCTCACAGCTACGGGGGCATTACTCAGTATAATTTAAGTCACTAGATGAATGACAATTGCAGAGTAATGCACATTTTCTTTTTGAATCATGATCTCTCTTCTTGTGTATATTTGTTTGAATTGAATCTACCTAATGTTAGTAATGGAGCAACACAACAAAGCACCTTATAGATTATGACCACCTCAGTCTGAAGACTGGTAGTTTTTGCCAAAATTGTATCCAGATTGAAATGTTCTTTTTTTCATTGCACAAGTTACTGGTTAGTAGGAAACCACATCCATTCACCCCACACCACAGATGAGAATGTTATAGTTCCGGCGTGACTGCACAGCATGTCATGACTTACATGCCCATTTGCTTTTGTTTTTAATTGATTCAAAACGTTTCATGTTGTCCTTGTGAGGCGTTGAGTGCATGTATGGACAAATTAATTAATTTTCTAAGTGAACTGACTCCACACTGAACATCTCTTTCAGCTGTGGATCCACTCGTTGGTTACAGACAGCCCGGCTCTCGGCTCGGCTCTGATTCACATTGTGTTACTTCCTTGTTAAAAGCATACATAAAAGACTGCAAAATCAATAAAAACAACAACAATCTGATAACTTGCTTGTAAATAATAGGTTGCCGAGCAACTAACTTTATCATTGTTCGTGCAGCCATAATGCAGCATAGAAGCGGATGTAGTTTGGACCAAACAAACAGAAGTTCCAGACTCCATGCTGGATGTGAGGCCTTGCAGACAGTGATACACACTTTTTGTTTTGTAATTTGAAATAGGCAGTGACTATGAATCTTGGCACTGAGGTGAGGAAGTAATTCAAACCAGTAAAATGATCCATGGTTTTCATCTCTACCTGATCTTGTCCATCAGACATGTGGCAGTGATGAGGACGGTGATGATGACTTGTAGATGGTCCATTACAGTGGATTGCAATCTGTCTGCACAGCATCCAGACCTCATATTTAAATCTTTTAATTTTATCAGGCTACGGTAAGGAAAATATTCAAACTGAAGGGAGAAAACGCCTGCATGCATAGATGACCACTATGACCAATAGCTCACAATACCCTTTGTTTGAGATTTGTCAGTGACTCTGTTTTCCTACGTCCTCGGGCAGTATTCCCACTGGTTTAATTTTAACCTCTCTCTGCCCTCTTGTATGCAAGCGCTTCAGGCAATAACACAAATCACTTATGCTGTAGTTTTTGTGCTCACTATAGGATGCATGTAATATTGTGGGAATCACTCAGCTGAGGCAAACAGATAAATCCTTGGAAGATAACAAGACAATGATGCAGATTCTCATGCACATGCCCAAATTGTCTAGTTTTTTTTTTGTTTTTTTTAAATGTGAAATGCTTTGTGTATCAAAGAAAGTGACGTGATAATTCTCTTTTCGTTTACGTGGTGAAGACTGATGCCGTGAGAAAGCAGGTGGGGTTGTGCACGTGTGTGGCGTTGGTGACATTCATGTGAGAGCGACGGCTGAAGGTGAAACAGTGTGCCTGTGTTTGCGTGTGTCTGTTTTGACATCTGTGTGCATGTGTGCTGAATTACAGTTGGGTAGGCTGGATAAGTGGCTCAGAGTAGTTCACTGCCAGAGCATATTCATTTCAAAGCCAACTCTGAGGCAGACACCAGGGAAGTGAGAGCAGGGAGGCTTACTGGCTAATCTGGTCAGAGAGCGAGCTGGAAGCAACACAGAATTCTTAATGTAGCGGATGTAAAAAAAAAAAAAAAATCTAATTAGTGACGGCAACTACAGAAACACTTCTCCATGTGCATGACATAACGTGTCTATGTGGGTGAGAGAAAAGATGGGAAAGTAACCGAGGATGTGTGCGTTTATGTCTGGAGATGGGGTGTTTAACATCCCGAGGTCAATCTGACCTCCTCCTTGACCTCCCTCTGAGATTTCTAGTCTTACACCTGGGTGCGGTTTCTTACACTTGGATGTCGAGCATGATCCGCTTGTCTTCTTCCACATGGATGCCCCAGATGCAGTCCTGCCCCTTGTCATAGGCCTCGGGCCAGTTAGGAGACAACACCACACCAGCAGAGTCTGTGATCTCCCCGCTGCACACAGCTGCAACACACAAACACCGCAGGTTGACACTGAGAAACAAACTGAGACTTCAAGGCACAAGATTCCGACGAATTTAGCATTTAAATTCCAACCTCAATCTGCTCCAAACAAATTTATGTTGATGCATGAACTAGTTTGTGACCTCTGAGAATGGAACCGTGACCTTCATGTTTAATACAGCTGAACAGCTGAAATGGAGTGTGCAAGCTCTTTGCTCTCATGATCCTTGTAAAACTGCATGCTACCGCTAAACCACTTGGTGACCATGACCCACAAGAGCAGAAATTTAATTTTCTTGTATCTAGCTCTACTAGAGAGCTTTTCAATTTCACTCTGTGGCAGAACGACCATGCAGGCATTAAAGACCGGGGGTAAGGTCAGCATGTCATGTTTGTGTGTATATGTGGGAAGAGTGTGACAGAGAGGAAAAGGGAAGGGCTCAGGGTTGGACTGCTGTTAAATATGCTGCATACACTGTGCGCTGTGGTAGTGTTCATCTTAGGCCCAGCTATTGTACGCCTTTAATCTTGAGCACTTCTAAAATCTGCCCTCGAAGCACACATATCAAAGTGGATCATTGTTGCAATTTTAAGAGGAAATTTATCATGGATCAGAGGAAAGCAGCTTAGGAAGATATAGTTAACTGCCAGTGGTATTTAATATTTGAACAAAAAGACTTCACTAACTCCTGCAATGATCAGACAATGAAAGGCTTGGGTCTTTAGGTCAGTCATATCTGACTCTAAGTTCTTCTCCGGTGGAAGCACTTCTTTTTTTTTTTCCAAAAGATTTAATGCGCCAAAATTACTAGAGCAGCTGAAATCTGTTGGCTCACCCCTACAGGCTGGTTCGGTCTCATTCCACTGTGGGTTTTGCGCATCGACGCACTCAATCACGACGGAACCTTGCTCCAGCGTGTAGCCGGGGTCACACGAGAATTCAACCACCGCGCCCACGCCATAGGTGGAGTCGCTGCTGCTGAAGTTGCCGTATTTCACGAAGGGCTCGTAGCACATTCCTTTTGCGAAAGCTGCAGACACAAGGCGTACGCCATTAAACACAAAAATGACAGAGAAGGCACTTGACATTATTAGAAATCTCAGCTATCATCCTGCCTTCGTATCTGATGGCTGCGCCGGTGGAGGTCATCGTCCCGTCTGTGGTGAACTCCACAAACAGGTAACGTCCGGTGCTGAGGACGCCCTCGTTGGGCAGGTATTCTACCTCGTAGGAGTCGTACACGGGGGGAGAGTCTATGTTGTTGCCGTTTTTAATCAGCAACCTAAAAAAAAAAAAAAGCAAGAGAAGAGAGGACAGTTTAAAATAGATGTAAGTGAGGTTTGAAAGGTAAGAGAAGTTACAGCTATTTGAGAGCTGCTCACTGTTCCAGTCATGACTGTAATAACTTTGTGATAATATTCTACAGCACTCTGTAATGAGATGAATGGCCATGCATAGCCATGTGGATCAGCAGCCGAAGAAGGAAATTTAATGCAATTGCCATCTCCTACCTCTCACTACCTTCTATTCCCTTTAATTCATTTGCTTGACAGAACGCTCTTAAAGGATTATAATGATAAAACGTCCTTTCAACTCATGTGTCATTCCCTCATTTATAGCCCTTGAGTTTTTAGCCTTATGAATACTGTCATTCAGAAAGTGAGTTTAAATCTGGAAAAAAAAAAAAATCCCACACTTTCTCTTTGCTCACTTTAAATATCAATATCTGTTTGAGTTTAGCAGCGTGCATAAATCACCTGTCATCGTCCTCAGCCAGAGCCACCTTCTCAAAGTGTATGTGAAGCCGGTGGCCTTCGGGGGCCTCCAGGACCCAGTGGCAGGTCAGATTGTTGCTGTAGTTGCCAGGGAAACCGGGAGAGACGATGCGACCATAGGTGGCATTTTTTATCATTCCCCCACAGGATGCTATATGAGAAGAAAGGGCGAGAGAAGAGAGGAAGAGGACAAAGAGTTGGAGGGTAAAACTAGATGAGAAAAGTAATGACACCACCTATGGTAGGAGGGTTTCAGAGAAAAGTCCCTGGCTGAGCATAGATTGCATCAATATCCAGTGGACTGTGGCTGGGCTACACAGGGCGGCTCTCCTGGATCTAAGAGTGTCTGATTATTTGCGAGGAGAACAGCAAAACGGCAGCAGTAACACTATCAGTTCAGAGCAGCTGCAGGCAGGCACAGTGAAAAGGCTGGAAGAGGCAGATGAGCTTCTAGCAGCAGGAGAAGGATAGTCATGTGGCCCAGTTCTAATTAAGGCAGCCAGGTCCAATGGCCTTGTTTTGCCCCGTCTCCAAAGAATAGCTCCCTGTGCTGCTAATCACATGCAAACACACTCATTTGGCCTCTGAGTGTGACTAATCAACTCAGTGGGAGATAAACTAGTGAAAGCCTTCGTTAATCAAAATCACCTGTTTTGTCAAGAAAAGAAAAAAAAAACAAAACACGTGCTTCATTACATTTTTTCAGTTTTTAAAAATTTACTATTTTGCGCGAGTTTAACTGTAAAAACTGCTTTCATGATATTGTTATAAAAAAACAAAGTTTCATTGGGGAAAATTAGCCCACATCCAAAATAAGCCTACTATCTACAGTCGTCCTCAAATGTATTCACATCCTTCTATTAAAGAAAAGGCAAAATTCACAATAGTCACTCAAATAACTAGAAAATGAAAAAAGTTGTAATGAATAAAAATTTGCTAAATTATAGTTTAGTGAAATAAGACATTGTATTTTGAATTGTGGTCGAAAAGAACAATTTTAAAAAACAAACAAAACATGTCCAAGACAAATTAGAGCACTTTGCTGATGAGCAGTGGACCAAAATCAAAATATCTGTCAACAGGTGCAGAAGTCTGATTGAGAGTTACAGAAAACACTTGATTGCGGGTTGTTCAACAAAATATTAGTTTACGGGTCCCATCATGCTTGTTTTTTTTATTTGTTTGTTTTTAAAAAATATTTCTGTTGAACCACGATTCAAAAGCAATGTCATGATTTTCATAAAATTTTTATTCATTATTACTTTTGTCAATTTCAGCTTATTTCAGCTGTTTTTTCCTTCTTTAATGGGAGGGTATGAATACATTTGAGGACGACTGTATATTTCTAGAGGTTATTATTATTATTATGTTGTGTAATTACACTCTGAGCTGTTTCAACCTGTTTGCTCCTGTTTTTTTTTTTTAATGAGTTGACAAAGATCCAGTTTCTCACCGACACATTTGGGTTCTTTTCCGCTCCAGTAAGGTGTCGTTGCGTTGCGGCAGGTGAGTATTTTCGGGCCTTGCAGCTTGTATCCAGTGGAACAACGGAAGAAGGCTTCTCCGCCGGCGTGGAGGTGCGTCACCGAAACTTCTCCACCGGCAGGCTCTTTGGGAAATGTGCAGCTCAGCACAAAAGCTGGGAAGAAAAGGATAAGAAACTGAGAAAACAAAGGGGCTCCTATAATGAATTACAGTGCAACATTATATTTTCCAGCGTTATTTTTGGCACCTCTCTGGCTTGCGGAAAAATCATCTGTGACTGTCATGCGCTATACTGTAAGAATGGATATCCAGTGAGTTTTTTTTGGAGGAAGACAAATGAGCCAATTTAGCTTTTGTCAGTAAAACGTATTAAATGTAATGATTTTTCTGTGGTCTGTCCTGTTATGATGCACAATATGTCACACAGTAGTGATTAGAGAGAACGAGAGGGGGCTTTAAAAACTCCACGTATGTTCATTCTGTGCTGCAATGCAATTACATCCGAACTCAGTTTATTAATTTGATCATTCTGAGTTGTGTAATTACAATGCAAATACACTGCATGATAGTGTTGATGAAACACTTTATCAAGAGACGCTCGTTTTATTTCATTCTTCTGTGCAGACGACAGCCATGGCTGGTTTCACCATGCTCATGTGGTCAATGTCCAATTCTCTGACAAAAGCCTTGATACAATTTCTTCAAATTTGCCTCAAACTTGGACTCCAGATTTAATTGTTTAGATTGTGGTGGTCAGAGGTCACTGTGAGTGAAATAATGAAGTTATGACAGTTTACATCCCAAAGGTCAGAGGTGACATCAAAATGTTCTGTGAAAACATTACTGTCCTTTTTTTTTTAATACTCAGGAACAGAAAGGGAGATTGTGACTACATTTATATATATGACTATATATATGTTATATATGAGGAGGAGGAAGAGAGTCAGGATTCATGCTACAGGCTAACCCCTCCAGACCAGCAGGACCGTCGCTCCTACTCTCCAATGTCCGCCCCCTTGACAACAAGCTGGATGAGCTACGTTTGCTGAGAGAAACCTGCAGAGAGTGGAGGGACTGCTGTGTGTTTGCTTAAATAGAAACATGGCTCCATGACAACATCCCAGACGGACATACAGCTGGAGGGGACGACATTATTCCGTGTGGACAGACAGACAGCTAGCTCTGGGCAGCATCTGCAGCTTCACCATCGTCACACCATCGTGTGTGTCTTTGTGTCCCTGAAGACGTACGAGGACCTGAAGAGGTTCACCATGTTCAATTTGATGGCAGCGCGCATGGACGCAGCGCCCCCTTCGGGAGGCAGCGAGCTTGAACGTTAAGTGTCTTATCCCAGACGTGCATGTCGCAAAACTTGCTGGTTGTATAATAATCCTGAAGAAACGTTCTCTCATCTTACCTGTACTGCTGTGTATGTACAGCAACATGACAATGAACCTGATCTGATTTGATTTTGATATTTGATATTTGGTCAGATCCTGAGTTGGTGACCCTAATCTTGAGTGCCAACCCTGAAGGTGTGTTGATTCTGTAGATCTTCTGAGCTGCTGGTTTGTGTGTGTCAACCACTCACGTCTCAGAATTTGTAGCTGCTTTGCAACAACATCAATATTGAAATCTTCTATTATGGCTAAAATGTTGCATTTTATCTGAATCAGCTTTGTTAGCCAAGCAGGATTCAGGTTTTGGTTTCTCTGCAGGTCTTCTCTCCATGCAGCACATGCAGGAGTCTGGACAGCCATTGATGTAAACTGCAGCTGGACCGGTTTGTGGAGGCATACAGCTATGACGTGGTAATTCTGGCTTAAAATTAAGTTTTTGCACAATTTCCCAAGGCTCAATGTTTCATTTGTCTATACACAATCCAGCATTGGACGAAAGTCCAATTCTGGCCAAAAATGCCAACAGTGTTAACTGGCTCCACAACATAATCCTCTGTGTCCTGCATTGTGCATAACCCCTGCTGTTTTGCTTCATTGTTGACCATGTTTTCTCGGCTCCAAACCACTGCTGAACACCCATACGTATTTAGATATAAATTGGGAAGGGGAGGGGAGGAGGATTGTCCTCTCTATTATTTAGCCAAATAAATCAGCTGCAATATTTCAACTATCTGTCTCAGTCTTTCTCAAACACACACACACACACGCACATGCACAATTAGACTTTGAAATTTGACTTTGTTTGCATACACTCCATCTATTAATTGCAGTTTAGCAGGACGTAAAGTATGCGCAGACATGTTTGTATCACCACGGTAATTAACATCGCTGTGCGGTTCAGTGGAGAGCCACCGCGAATGCTTTGACAAATAGAAGTATCGCTGACCAGTTGAACATCGTAGCGAGTCTGATAGCTGCAGGAGAAATAGCCTCTGTTGTCAAAGAGTTTGCGATTGCAGCAGGGGTAAGATCAATGTTCCTGGACTTGCTTTGCATTGTTGTCCTGTCCCTGTTTTTAAATAAATGGTGCAGGATGGGATGGAGTTCACATGGATAATGAAGTAAGCTAACCAAGTCTTTAATGGAAGCTATTAAACAACCTTCCCTTCCTGTCTAATAACCACACTGTTCTACCTCATTAGTGTAGGCAATTTAATGACCAGACTAAAACTTTTAAACTTCTGGAAACGTGTGAACAACAGAACAAGCAACATAATTGGACCCACTTTGGCTGGCGTTATAATAGCAGTTTGATAGCGCGGCCGCAAAAATACAGAAAACCTTTTACGAGGGGCTTCGGCTTTACTGGAAACTTCCGAGCTGCACGTCATGTTTCAGTTTAATGGAGTGGATGCGAAAGACTAAACAAGTGCTAATAGGAGAAGAAAATAACAAAGAAAAGGGCAGCTGGAGGACCTGTCTGTGTCAAAATCCTATTCTCAGCCTTAAAAGCAATTATGATAATAATCGAGCACAGGCCATGTAGTGTAAACACCTTAATCTACTTATGTTAATATGATTAAGGTTATTTGGTGTTTACAGAATTAAGATGTGGGCTTCCACACTTTTCATCACTGAAAAAGGAGGAGGTTTGGTTTGAGCCTGTCTGTACAAATTTGTATATATTTTCCAATATATAGCTCTAGGTGCTTGATTCTTATTCAGTTGAACTGCATCATAAATCACTGCTACTTGCACTTCTGCTTGTGTCACATCATTAAAAAATTACAGGAAATTGAAGTCACAACGAAATGTAGATGCAATCTAACGTCCTGAGCACCGGCGTTTTTTAATAGATACTCGCGCGAGTCGCCCAGTGCGAGAGCTAAAAAGACCTCCTGCTTTATAACATCACATGTTCATGCAGGAAGCAAGAGCAGACGAGGTTGTTGGTCCATGTGCAGAAAAGCTGAGCAAGTGGTGGTTAAACAGCACAGAAAGATTAGGGTTGGATGTGAAGAGCTTTCATTCCAGCCAGTCGTTTGTAGATGAAAAACAACGCTTTACTGATGTTTTCTACCATTACCTTGAAGCTGAATTGTCTGTTTGGAAAAAAAAAAAAAATGTCATTCTATCAATCTTTGAACTTGAACTCAGGGGAAAACAGCCCTTAATACATAATGGCCATAAAGGTTTGCGAGACTACAGACTTATGTTTTTTTTTTTCTTCTTCTTCCTTTACGCAAGCTGGTTTCCGCCGTAATGAAACAGGCCTTTCTTTTGCAGTAAATCAGTGAGCCACAGGGACGAGGTACACTGCCCCTGGGTCATCCATTCCATTCATAGTTTATCACTAGCTCCAATGAACCTAGTTATTGCCATTATCATAGCAGCATTTACATCCCTATTGAGCAGGCAGTGGGAGAGCCAGAGGCAAAAATTGTGGAGCCAATTCCTGAAGTATTAAATTACGTGCTGCCTCCATTCCAGTAGATGTGGTGCTGGGCCATAAAGTCTGATTGTTTTGCCATTAGAAATAATAGATCCACTGCGCAGACAGCCAGGAAGATTAGCTGATGGTACTGTAGAGCCACAGGAAACAGATGTGGAGCTTATGTCTTTAGTTATTGTTTTCTTGTAGAGGGAAAAGGAAACAGTCACACCGGTAAAACTCAGGTGAACCCTCAGCAGTGCAAGAAGTACAGACCTGCGTTTGAAGTTTTTAGCCTTTACCGAGAGAAGAAAGTTGGAGAAAAGTGTCACAAGAGTGTTTGTTTACTGTTGAATGCTGTAAGTCTGAGGTGCGAAATATTTTCTAAGCGTTTTTCTCACTACGATCCAATATGTCAGCGATTCCGGTGACAAATAAAGGGGATATGATGCATCACTACAACAGTTTCAGTGTTTAGATGAGGGCATTTCAGGTTAAAACAGAGAAAAAAAAATACTCCTGCCCTATAAAATATTGTCACTTTTATTGTTGAATATTGTTTAAAAAATGTGTGCCCTTACAAAGATTAGAATAAAGGAGGGAAAAAAAACAAAGCAACTGAAAGCCTTTGGGATTTAAATGGCACAGTTTTTAAGATGGAGAGTTGTTTTTGTATGTATCTTGTCACAACCAATATATAATCATAAGGTGTCTGAACACAGGCTAAATGTTTGTTTTCTTTTCTTTATTTTTGTCATTTCACAGTTCACAAAAGTTCAACAGGAACGTGTCCTGTCTTCCTTTTTCTTCCCCTTTTCTCTTTCACTCTTATCTATGCATGAGGAATGGGTTTTTGAATATAAAGTATTTTGCTTATTTCGCTTCTTGCCCTTTTCTCACCTATAGGAAATTCCGATATTTCCCGTCAACAAAATGGAACCGCGAATGTGTATTTTTGGGTCCGATAATGAGTCAGTTTTCTTCTGCCCTCTGTCAACAATTGCTTTAGATCAGCATTCGGAAATCAGCTGTATGCACATTTTTCATTTGCCTGCAGAGTACTTCAAATCGAGGACGCTTCCCTTCAACCAATAATGGACATATGCTGTTGACTAGGGCACAATAGATGAGCTGAGGAAGCCAGTAATAGTAGGTTGCTCGGTGTATTTGGAAAAACAAACAAAAAATGTATTTCAATTTAGTTCTAATAAACTGTTGCAGTGTTGTATGTGTTGCCTGAATCCCTTCAGGTGGAGAGCTGGAATAGGATCAAATTTGGCAAGGTGAGGGCAGGAGATAATGAAATGGGGTGACAGAAAACAGAACACAAATAATGAATGTAGTGTAGATTGTGATTCTATTTAATAGCAGTACATTTGGAGAATATTACCCATTGTGTGTTACACTGGCATTTAGAGCGAAAATGTGTTTCCATGGAGAGAAAATTAGGTGCCGATGACTAGTCATCTATAGCCAGTTATTGTTTTGCTGTACAGACACGGCAGCAGTTCCTCAGTTAGTAGGCCACTTGTGGGAGAGAGTGACTGTCACTGTATCTGTATCTTGTCCTGGCTGAGCATCAAAGCATTACCTTTTACAGAAAGATCAATAGTGTTGTCTCTGAGAAAGTGATTCAGTTGTAGAGAGCTGGACCATAGTTCTGCCGTGATATGGCCTATTGATATTTATGTGGTTGGGTTAAAAACTCGATTTTTAATGGTCATTTACTCAATAAAGGCTATTAAAGAGAAATAACTTTGGACCGGAGGCGGAATCTCATCAGCGCTGCTCAGAACTCGTGGCGAATGGTGGATCGCTGCCAAGGGGATGGGGTCCTCCTGCCACCTTGCTTGTCATTGCAGCTTATTAGTTGAAGCCAATCAATATTTCCTGTAAAACATCACCGCCATTGGCAAGGCCATTGATCGTACTCTATTTATATATACTTCACAAAAGCCTGAAATGACAATTCAAGCTCACTTGTTGACATTAAGAGGTCAAACATGATGGCACTTCTGTCGTCTGAATAACAAACGGGAGGTTGTGATTAAATTGAACAACAAGCTAAGCTCAGCTGGGAGCAAAACGGGCCTCTGAACACTTCCATGTGCTGTGTTACATTTAAGCGGTAATGCCTACAATTGTGATTCTAAAGATAATGAAAGCGTTCCTTGACCTCTCTGTCAAAAATGTGAGATTATAGCTTGTACTGGTGGAGTTTCATTTTTTTGCCAAACAATCCATCTGCATGCCGCTGTAATTAACCCACCAATATGCTTTCAGAAAAGCTGTAGAGGTTTCAATCCTCTGTTCCATTTTTAGTTTGCTATTATGGATGTTTAGAGTGAAGCATCCTCTCAAAGTGCTTGTATGGATTGCAGCACATTAATTCAGTTGTTGGGAGTTAAAATTGCAGCCGATTCTTATTACAAAAAAAAGGCTGTTACATCTATGAGAAACAGGAATATCTGAGCTGATAATGAAGCTGCTTTTAATTAAATTTGGTAGAAAGTAGGTGCCTGAATTAAATTTTTGAAATATCATTTTATCTGGATTTGTTTTTATTTGCCATCAAAATAAAAACAAAGGCATTTTTTTCTATTACGTTAAATCAAATCAAAACACAGGGATTGCCAAAAAGATCCAAAACAAGTGAGTTGTGAGGAAATATGTGTGTGCATATGGCAAACAGGCAATAGTGATCATGTGCATACAGCATTGCTAACACTCACGGTGCATGTTTTATATGTACGGTATATATATTTTAAAAAATCTGTGGATGGTTTTGTTAAATGCATAAGTGAGGGATTATTATTCACTGTTCTAGATGAGGACATTATGAGTGTGCATTGAGGAAAAGAAAGACCCACAAGGACATAGAAGAGGACTGGTAGGCTCCCTTTCATTCCCCCACTCTCCCACTTCCCACTGTCTTAACACAAACAGTAAAAGACACCTTTAATCATGTTCCAAGTGTCAGGCACACTGCTGATGTTATAGAGGCATCCATCAGTCTGCCATCGCAGGCAGAGCTAACGCTGTAACAGATATTAATTACCCCGAGCTGAGATGCATCTCTCCACAGTTCTGTCTCCTTCTCCACGCTTGTCCAATCACATTTCTCACAGCCCATTATAAAGGACAAGGGGATACTGTGCTTACCAAGCAGAGGAACACAAATTGAAATATCTTCTGTGTCTCCAATATGTCCAGTATTCACAAAATCTACTCATTGCATCTTTTCTCACCGGTGTACCTGAATTTGTCCTGTCAACTTCCAAACTAAACGGGCTGTTTGGCGGACAGCGAACGCTGCACATGAGATTGGCTTTTATTTGCCAAATTACAGGCAAGAGTTACAATACAGAAAACTGTTTATGTGAAAGTGTTTTATAGGTGCATAATGAATTATATCATTACAAGCCCAGGAAGCCTGACAATGATGCCAGACTCTGAGAAAGCCACTGTATTTTCTGGCCATGTCGGTGTCCTGGGCCAGAGATCCACTGGCAATATTGTAATTTGGTTTATCTACAGCTTCTTGTAGGTGTTGTCACATGTCTGATTCATCATCTGGTGTGTTTACATACCTACTATTGTCTCTGATATGTGGGGATGTGGTCTGGTACATAATAAAGCTGATTATTCTTATCTCTGTTTGATCATCGATCTGGTTTCTAATGTGTATATGTGTGTAATATAATAGGTCTACTTGAGTTTTTTGGTGGGTCTATGGTTCTCACAAAGCTGTGTACTAATAGAGTGTAAGTGAGCATTTTTGCTAGCTGGCATAAGAGCAAAATAAGTCTCCGTGATGTGTCTGGGTCCAGATTAGCTCAGGTCATTATCTGTGGAATTCCGAGGTGTACTGCTTTTATTATTACACACTTTCTTGAACTGATTAACAGATAGGTGCCTAAGGTGCAGCTGTCATGAGTCTCATCCAGGCTATAATCATATTAAGATATGATCCTTGCATGGAACATTAGGAAGCACTTAGTTATTCATGTTCCTGACAAAGTGGCGTTAGAAAACGCTGTGTGGGTCACAAAATGCGCAGCAGTCAGCTGTTTAAATTGATGACATGACAACCAGCGTGAGCACCCCATCGGGGGCGCTGTATGGAGGGAATCCTCTCATCGTCGCGTGAGAGTGAAGAGCATCCATCTATCATCCATACATCTGTCCATAATCTATAACCTGGAAAAACATTTTGCATAATTACACTGAGGATTTACTGAAATGCAAACAGGAGAGGTGAAGGAGAAAAGTACACGTATCGATGTGCATAATATATTTCAACTATTTGTCACCGTCTGCTTCCAGCTATGCATCACCCTGTGTGATCGGCTCTGACCCCTCGCTGTCATCATTCAGCCTGACCACACAGTGACATTCATACGTCTGACAGCGATGGGCTGATTTATCTCACATCAGCGGCGCCGTTTCGACGCTCCCTTTCATTTTCTAGCTGATGAAAGTGCCACAGTAATGTGGTGGAATGAATGTTTTGTCCACCAGCTTCCACCATCAGCTCAAATCGATGGGGCATGTAATTGGTGGCCACTTTGTGTGATTGCTAAGATAAACAGACATTGTTATGGACATAGAAGATCAATGTCACGCACAAAACAAGCCAGGGAGAGGGAGGAAATTATGAGCCATCATATTCACCAATACCATGGAGTAACTGGTTCTCCTGACAGGGGTTTGCCACCGCCACACACTAGTCACTGCACTATTTGGTCACATTTAGTGATTTATTTTTTATTTAGATTTAATCTATGCAGTGGCAAATGGAATCCGGTGCTCACAAGACGAGCTTGAATGACTATGAAAAATGAAAATGGAAAAAGCCTGTACACATCACTGGCTATATGATTATGTATTTTAATAGCTGAATTAAGTTGGGGGGAAAAGAAATGTTTTGGAATAGAACATTTTGTAAGAAATTGGACCTGGGTTAGTCCTATTTCTGTCTTTTATTTCCTCCCTGGTATTGCGTGGTGATTATTGTGACATGATGAGCAGCAAAGAACCCTTGCTCTCTCGCATGTCTGTAAATAAAGGTTATTTCACGAGCCAAATGACTTTACTCTTGTTTTCTTGGCTGGCATCGCTGAATCCAATAAGTGCTGGGAACAAACACAGTGTCTGATGAGAGTTGTTGGCATGTAGAGGCTAGTTAAAGTTAGCTTTTTAACAGTAAGTCACTGCCATATTTAATGTACACACAATTAGAATCCATAGCGAACAACCCGAGCAGCTGCCGGAGTGATCAGTTTGAATAATGTGACAACAAATGTCGCTTGGCACTGGCTCACCTTGGTAATGCAGCAGGAGGAGTCCTGAATTGTGACGCTGGTCGCTACGAAAACGGATGGAGATCTGGTTGCTCCAGCTGCGCAGTACAAGGCCCCTCATTAGGACTGACTCATTGGCAAGAATGAAGGGTTCTTGACCTCCTGTATCCTCCACTGTCACCTGCTCTCCCTCCAACACACTCACATTTAGCACCTAAAAAAAAAAAAAAGGAAACCACAGCACAAGGTTAAACACAGGCCTTTACTGCCATGCTGACTGGCTTACCCTTTGTAAGAAGGGCTTTTGGACCAATAAATTTCACAAAGAACTGTCACAGACAGTGCATGATTTATTTTTAGCATATTTATTCACTCTCACTATTTTCCCTTTGGAAATATGCAAGAAAAAAAAGAGTCTCATTGCACACAAAGCTGGTGATTGTTGACTTACAGTATTGGCCTTCAGTTCACACCAGATGGGATCTTAATTCGGCAGCAGCACTTTATGTGTTTCCGTTTAAAGCCAAGTTTAGTCTGATAATGTTGATCTGAAAAAATGGGTCACCTGCTGTGTTACTTTTGCTCAGTCGTCTACCAACACAGTAACAAAGGAATATGTTCGGTTTTGTCGTTTCTTTGTAAACCTGCTGCAGGATTGTAGAACCTGTCTGGGTCACTCCGCTCGTGTTTTGTTGCACGACTGATTCATCCTCTTTGTGTGCTCTCCTTGTGCCTGTGAGCAACTCTGTCAGCAGTCCTCAACAGGTCTGAACAGCATCTGCAGCTAAATCTGGTGGGGGAATCTCAAGAGTACTGCATGTAGTTAAACTGTCTGGATAATGGAGTACTGACACCTTTTGGAGCACATCTGATTCAGTCCCTGAAGAACTGAATGTTAATCCAACAGCAGGTCACGGTTATTATTGTGTATGATAAAAGAAAAGGCTTTCACCTTGCGTTTGCAGCATTGGGGTTTTTCATCTTCCTGATTTATGTAGTTTGTTTGGTGGTTGTGGGGTTTTTGTACAACAAAACTTTCAGTAAGTAAGATTTTTGATCATTATCTTTTAAGTTGTTATGGTGAACTTGTTAGGAAACAGTTTCTTATTTGCACATCCAGCAGTTATGGGATCCCTCTCTTTTTCAAAATTGCATTCCTTTACAATTAAACTACATTCCCAATTACATTTTGAGGGTGTCACACATACCTAACCAACACATCATTGCCATTTATTAGACTTATTCCAACTCCTTTCAAACAACTAATCATATATTACAGTAGATGGTTCAGAACTCTTCATCTTAGTAACTCACAAAATGCAAGAGAAGCCTCAGATATGTTGGGAAAGAGTGTAGTTTAGCCGATTGGTTCTCAAACTTTTTGAGCCTCAACCTCCAAAATAACATAAGTTTGTGTTCGTGACCACCTCAATTTGAATTTTTAATATATCATGAGTAATAACTTTGTTGTTGATGCACTAATGCATTAAAAAATAATGTGCTAATTCCACAGATTAATCTCTTTACATTAACACATTAACTTTCTTTCTTTTGAATTAATGACTTGAGTTTATTTTGAACAAATTAAAGGGAAATTGAATATAAATACAAAAGAAAATAATTATGAAAAGAGCATTAAAAAAAAAGAATAAAATCGCATAATCAAATCATAATATTAACAAATTCAAAAAAGGAGTAGGAAGAAGTGTACACTTTTAATGTTGACAGCCCTAATGCATATTTATTTGACAAATGTTGGCTTTTTTATTATTATTATTATAATTTTTTGCAATGATCTGGTGACCCCCTGATATTATCTTGGGAACCCCACCAACCCCCAGTTTAAGAATCACTGGTTTAGCCCAGAACAAGATATTTTCTTCAACCTAACCAAGTATGTTTGGTGCTTTAATCTAAGTTTCTAACATGTGGTTATTGATGTAAGAGGGTGACCTTTAACCTAAAAGTTCACATGTTTGTGAACCTAACCAAGTGGCTTTGTTGATTAAGCCTGATCAAAAAGCGATTGAAAATAAATAGCAACTGATAATGATCCAACACTGGACACAGACCACAGTCTCCACGGTGGAAGTCTTGTGCTGGACTGATGACACCATTACTCCAGAGGAAGCATTTCCTATAATGTCTTGCTGTGACCTTACTGGGAGAAAATGCATTTCTTTCAAAACGTTATAAAGAATACAGTTTAGTTGGGAGCCGGGGTAGGTTATGGAGCAAAATTATCATTCATCTGAAGCTGTGTTTTCAGGCCACCAGGCAAATGTAAGTCCAATATTTTCTTCCCTTTTAGCTCAGTGTTTTACCAACCTCTGAGGGAAATGTCTGGCATTTTAGCTGCTGAATGCTCCACTATGTTCACCAGTGTTGCAAACCGCTCTGTTTGCCTTTTGGTTCCGTGCACGTACAGTAAGCTGTAGTGGGTTCTTTTCTCTAAAAACAGCTGCCGGCTGCAGTAAAAAAAAAAATCACTCTGAGCAGTGGGAGTAAACCCGAACAAAAAGTTGTGGGCCGGGGAGCTAGACAAAGAGCTGAGACATGCTATGAAGTAATCTGTGCTGATAAAAGATAGAAACAGAGGACATTTAAAATATATATATATATAGATATATATGTAAAATACCTCTATAATACTGTTCACAGCTCAGTGAATCTGATTATTTAAAACCAACTTTCATCCAGATGTGAAATGAACCAAATCCCTGTCTTGAAAGACAAGTGCCCCATCAAAGCTAATTCGGCCACGTCTATTTCCAGCTTGTAGTGGAATTCATGACATGATCCGAAAGCTAATTCTGTCATAGGTAGCGGGCTCAGGTCTCAGGTACGCCACGAGGCAGAAAAAGGGTTGCCCTCCATAGGCTGGTGTCCCTGAGGTAATATGTGTGCAGGAGTGTTAGTGCAGCAGCCTGGAAAAGCTGAGACAGTGGGCATGATGAGCAGTATTCACAATGGTGGCAGCAAAATAAATTTGGTCACGTAGACTCACTGTCACTCAGTCAAACAGGAGCTGGCAATGAGTGCCGAGAGGCTAATGGACACCGTGAGACGGAGCTTAGAGGTGACTTTTTCTGGAATGATCCAAGAGATCAGCCACGGATTGATTTGATGTTTTTTTATTACTACCTGAATTAAACACAACCCCACTCTGGAGGTTTAGGGATAAACCACAGAAAACAAAGAGCAGATGAAATAGTGAAAAAGCAGATATGTTTCTATATGTATGACAGAACCATTTGTGTATGTTTTAACACACACAAAAATTGCTTTTTATAATTGCAGCGAAGGTTTTGTAGTTATTTCACGAACCTCAAACGGCGGCATCACAGAGAGTAATAAAGGATTGTCACATGATTTTAGAATCCCAGATTCTCTATTTCTCAAGGGTAATGGCAATGACAAAGCCTTAGGCGCAGTTCTGTTTTTTTCACTTGTGCCTCTTTTTTTTTTTTTTTTTTTCCTTCTCTGAGTTAATATGGAGGGCTTGGATGTTTTGCAAATCAGGTTACTTCAGCTACTTGCTCGCCATATAACTTCATAATTCCCCCCACAGCACAGCACAGCACAGTAATTCTCCTTCAATTTAACATTCACACTCTGTGACTGAAATGCAGGCAATGTGCAAGCGCAATTTAGTCTGACAAATTTGGAAAATTACAGCCTTGGAAAATCGAATTGGAATTATGTAATTTTTAATTGTGTTGTAATCAATCGTTAACTCCTTCCATCCCGGAGAGCCCCGTTAGCAGGACCGGGATGTAGCTGTAAAAACATCATTTTTCATCATTTTCAATGTTTGTGGCAAATTCGATGAAAAGACAGTCATGTGCTGCTATGAATGAAATTGACGCAGCGTTCGTTTGTGTCTCGCTTTAATGGCATTAAATGTAGTAGCCGCGGATTGTTAGAACATCGGCGTCTGCTGGCTCATTATTATAAGGCTGATATTGAGTTTTTGAAATCTCACTCTGTCCTGGAGATAAGGATAATGAGACTTATTGTATTTCAAAACTCTCCCAAGTGACTCTCATCTATAGACCCCAAGGTTGTTCATTCTGGTCTGACAGTTTTTTTTCAGCTGCTACTGACTATATTATTTTGCAGGTGAAAATGTCAAAAAACGCCCTGGGCTTAGGGGGTTAATTGGTTGGATCGTAATATTTTTTACAAGTATATTAAATTTAAAACATATGAGAGAACATATATTTGCAAAGCACATTTCCTTGTGATGCAAGAATGGTTAAACACCCATGCATTTTATGTGCTTCTTTCTTTAATTTGACAATATCTATTCAAGGATTCAAACAATCTGCATCTATAATTTCCTTCATCTCTCAATTTCCACCTAAAATTTATATCTGTCCTGTGATGTGTTTCTGTTACCTCCACCATCAGGTACTGTAAAGCAGGTGGTCGATGAGAAATGCTGCTATTCCACCGTGGTTCATACATATTTCAGTCAACTCTCCCTCTCTCAAAAAAAAAAAATCATGCTAGGAATCAAATGGCCTTCTTGCCAAAAAATTCACTGAATCCCTGTGAATCAATCCATGCTCTCCTGTAGCCAACAGCTCAGTAGAAACAGCTAAAATAGAAATAAAGAGCAAAAAAACTAAACGTTAGCCACACCCATTTGAAACCACATTCACTCTTTCAACAAATTAAAAAAAAATTACTTGAGATTTCTTTTGTTTCCAGTGTGTTCAAAAATTGTTAATATGCAGATTCTCAGTTCTTAATTTCATACATTATTCACCCACAGTATTTGTCTTTGGTACTTTTAGTTCCTAGCTATTATCTTTTGGGAATGTGTACCAGCCGTCATTTAGTCCATCAGAGCTAAACAATGTCCACGAGGCCGTGATGTTCTCTTCTCACTGCTGTGCACAGGATTTATGTTCAGTTGGACAATTCTTGGATCTCTTAATCTTTTTTTTTGGTAATAAAAATATCAAATGTGATCATGAAATATTAGCTGCTGGTACAATTAGTACAACGTATTTCAACAGTAAGCTGGGCTACCTGTCAAAACATCTATTAGACTGACTGCTAGAGGTCAGGGGGCGTTTTGGTCCATTCATGTTTTTGTTTTTTTGTAACTCAAGAAAATCTTTTTGTCCTTTTGCCTGCTTGGACAACAGTAGTGCAGTGGTATCCATCACAGCTCCCTCCACTGGTTCCAACTGGTGACAACTT